CCTGCCGGGGGCCCCGGGGGCTGCCGTGAAGGAGCCGGGGAAGGTCAGCTGCGTGGCGCTGGCCGCGGGCGTTACTGCTTGGTGCTGCCCTAAGCAGTAGCTGTTTGCGGATCGCCGCCTCTGCTCTGAGGGCTGGCTCTGAGTTTGTGGGACAAACGGGTCGTGTGGGCATCCGGAGGAGACGAGGCCAAGCCGGGGGGAAAAAATGCACTTCTTCCAGTAAATGTCGGCACGAGTATCTCACTAGGATAAATGCTCTGGATTTGCTGTTTTGGTGACCCTTGAAAGGTAGATGATTTTTGATCGTTCGTGAAGCTGCCCCGTTGGACAGGATGGTGAGCTATCTAAGGCTCCGTTAGTACTACCGATGTTTTGTGGAAAGAGGGTAATTTTATTTAGTGCCGTTCGTACTCAGTTCTGTGTCCCGACAAATTATTTGTGCGATTCTAAAGGCTGTGACAGGTAAAAGAGGTTATCTGTATGACTGAGGCATCGTACTGTTTGCATTTTGCATAGCTTTTTTAGCCATCTCTGGCTATTTTAGGTCCAAGACTATTCAGTGAGCACTGTTGAACTGGGGACTCTTGGACCATGCTGACTGCAGGTTTTTTGTAATGCTTTTCAGTGCTGGTTTTGCATACTCCTATATCTATCCTGTATCTAACCTGTGTGAATTTGCAAGTATTACAGAACTGGTCCTCACTTCTCAAAGACTGAATCACCTGAGTAGGAACTATCCAGAAGGTCCCTGAAAGGGCTAGGTCTCGAAATGGAAGGAGATTCCCCAAATTCAGAATACCGTTGTGTCATTAAATGAATATGTGGTCTATCATGGGTGTATTAGAAAGACTGTAAGATACGCTGGTTCGTATTTCACATCGCTCATGCAAGTTGAGATACATACGAGATAAGGTAGCTTACATGCCTTCATAGTATTTAAGAATGTAAAGGACACTTTAAAATAACTGTGATTTCTTGTATCTTTTTCACGTGGAATCAGAACCATTTCATAGTTGTACTTGGAATAAACCCCTAGAACAAGTCACAGAGGAGTAAGCCACAGAAAGGATAGATTTTGGTTCTGCTCCCCTCTAATTTAAGATAACCAAAGTCATTTAAACCATGCTTAAAATAGACTAAACTATACCAACAATCATCTGCGGTAAGTTGCAATGAAGATTGCAGTATTTTTTAAGCAAACAAGCCCTGAGGTGTACAGTGTATCTAAAAATGTCCTTATGTGTAACCACACTATTGCTTTCCAAAGACTTATGTGTGCACTGAAGTTCATGTCTGAATGTAGCATTTAGCAGGCATAGTTCTTTCAATGTTGAGGGTCTATATTTGTTGATGTTTTTGTGTTCTGCCTTTCAGATATTCACAAAAATGTAGGAAAAAAATCTTATTAAGCTAGAAGTAGTTTGAATTTCTTTTTTTTTAATTAACTCTTCCATAGTGAAGGATAGGACAACATGTATTCCAGCAAAGCGAAAACATTGCAGTCTGGGTGACTGGAGTCCAGAGGGGAATAAAGCAATTAGAATCTGTACAAATATCCATAATCATTTATATGTTAATTTATTC